TACGGGAAAATGCACAAGTTTATGACGTCACAATTAGCATTTGGAAGGTCATGTGAGAAAAAAGATTTGTATGATCTTTCTGCATGGAATTTCAATAATTCAAAAAGCATGAGTTTTAATTTTTTACATCACTTTTATTTTTAAGAAAAACACAGGGCAAAATTTGTATTGAAACCGTACCTTGTTCTTTGTCACAGGGTATCCTTGGCCCAAGATCTCCTGTTCATACTAAAACTAGGGTTGTGATCCTTAAAAAGGAGGGGGGGATAATTGGGTAAATAAAACCAAACGTACTGGTTGCTAAAAAATCTTCTTCTCAAGAACCACTGGGCAGATTATCACCAAACTTACATAAAAGGATGAGGATATGTTGTAGATTAAAAAATTGTTCAAGGCATCACCCTGGGGCAAAGGACGTGGTCTCAAGGTCACTTCAAAGTTGACCAAAAATTACAATTTATTAAAATGTTGATATTTTGCTTACTATAAGGACTAGGATCATCAAATCTTGTCAGTTGATGCATCTAAGGACCTCATATCATGTTAACTCAAAAGTAGGTCACGGTGACCTACTTTTTAAATTTTGCGGCCATTCTTTTTCAAAATGATTTAGAGGCATATTTTCAACAATTTAAGGCCTATGATCATCAAGCTTTGTCAGTTGATGTATGTTGGGTCCTTGGAGTACATCAACTAAAAAGTTGGTCACCTTGACCTCCTTTTGAATTTTATGGCTAATCTTTTTCAAAACAATTAAGGTCATTAATTCGAATACTGAGAGGTTAAGAATTATTAAATCTTGTAAGATGATGCATGTTGGGGCCATAAAACTTATTTATTAAAAAGTAGCTCACAGTGACCTACTTTTTGAACTTTGCAGGCATTCGATTTCAAAGCGTTTTACAGGCATAATTTGGACATTTTAAGGCCTATGATCATAAAACTTAATAAGTTGATGCATCTTGGGTCCTCAAAAAATGTCAACTGAAAAGTAGGTCACCGTAACCTACTTTTGAAATTTTATGGCTATATTTAATATTTTCTGGCACTATTTGGATAAGAATCATCAAAATTTGTCAGTTGATGTATCTTGGGTCCTCGGAGTAGCTCGACTGAAAAGTAGGTCACCATGACCTACTTTTCAATTTATATGACTTTATTTAATATTTCGGGTACTAATTGGCTTAGAATCATCAAACTTTGTCGGTTGGTGCATCTTGGGTCCTCGGAGTAAGTTGATTGAAAAGTAGATCACCGTGACCTATTTTTGAAATTTTATGGCTTTATTTAAATATATCAGGTACTATTTGGCTTAGAATCATCAAACTTTGTTAGTTGATGTATCTTGGATCCTCAGAGAATGACAGGTGATAAGTAGGTCACCATGACCTACTCTCAGGTACTAATTGGCTTAGAATCATCTTTTGTTTCTCAGATTGTTTCATCTAAAATAAAGGTCATGATGACCTACATTTGGAATTTCAAGGCTTTATCTAAATATACAGGATACTTAGAGGCTTCAAATAGAAGTGATAGGTTGCACAGTTTATCAGAAGAGCGATTCAAGGCCCTTGGGCCTCTTGTTTGGTTTCATGACGATGATCAAGCAATTGGCTTGCGGAATAACTTTATGCATAAACGCCTTCTTTTAACTAAATTCATTTTCTCTTTCAGATGGGCATGTAGAAAAAATAGTGAAATTCGATCATGCCCCCTTATTCAAGTCCTATAGCAGTAAACAGTTGAAAATCGCCCGTGTTCCTTGAAATTTAGAAACCACGCCGTATACTTGATGACAATCAGCTAATATGAACCTCAACCAAACCGTAAAATTTTGTGCCAGTTTTCATTTTCTTTGCAAGAGTTACAGAACCTTATACACTATTATGTATAATTATTATCTTTAACTTTCATAATCGTATAATACCAAATTACTCTATTCAAACTGCAAAGACCAAAATGATATAATAATACATGTATGTATATATACATAATGCATGTATATATACTTGTTTGGTTCAAATTGAAATATGGCTCACTGAGAGCATTATTGCTAAAATAAATCACAAGCAATTCACTGTGATGTAATGGAGACATTTTTGGCCCAAAACTGTGTGTGAACAGTAGGGGATTAAAAAAAAGCTACGCACGCTAACTCTGGATTCCCGCCTACATTTTACACCCATTTAATTCAATATTAATGGCAATTTGGCCATAAAATCTTTGTTGAATGCAGAAAAGAGTGCAATGGTAAATGATTAATAATTTTAATACCAGTGTTAAATAGTTAATTCCAGCTCTTTTTATAAGGGGGTAGACGATGTTTTCCAGTGAAATCAAGCTTGAAAGCATCAGCATATTTTAAAAATATTTTTGGATATGGATTATTGTTTTTTAAATCTTTTCTTATGTTTCACGCATATAAAATTACGCATAGTTATGTAATTGATAAAATACAACGTTTAAGTTGTAAACCCCCTTCGAAATTGGTGAAAAAATGAAAATTTTTGTCGATTTTGTCTGTAAACATATCCCCCCGTGAAACACAAGAAGCTTTGGTATGAATTTGTGAAATATCAATCCATATTATTACCTGTAAAAAGGAATTTCTGTTTCTCGGGGTGGGGGGATGTTTTAAAAATATTTTCCGTTTTCCGTTGATTTCTATGGTGAAAAACACAAGTATTACCAAAATTATACAGTTTTCTCTCTTTCTTTTCCTAAATAAATAATTTTTTTATGAAAATTCATATAAAGATCTTTAAATATATGAAAAATCATTCAAATATGTTAACTTTTGAAAATTGACTTGGAGGTAGGAGGGAGAACAATACTATCGTTCGCAGTTCTTTGTGGAATCTTTGCTTGTACCTCATTACCCAAGTCTGACGATGACCTATATTTAAGTACATGTAGTATACTCTGCATATAGCAGCTTCATTATACAATGTACAAACATTTGGGTGTCATCTGATGAAGAATCAAACTCGTTTAAAAAAATCTTTTCTGGTTCCCAGTTTTCTTGGGTACTAAGGAAACATAAACCATGGAATTCTCCGTCTACTTGGCTATGTGACTATGTTAGTTAAGACAGAATATCATAGAAGAAATTATAGGGTTAATCATATAGACCTCATTGAGATGGTTTTCATTTTCCATCAACTTTATTGATACTGTAAATGTATACCGAGTTTTCTGTAAAAAAAAATATATTGTAAGAAAGATACTTGTCTTATATTTATAAACAAATTTGGTACAATTTAAATACCGGAAAATTCTGCTACAAATAAAACTGCATCAGTACATACTGAGTAATTTTGTGTATCAATGCTTGGTTATAATAAGCTTAAGGACATAGGCAACGTAGTTTGAACTTTACTGTCCTTTTTTTCCTGGAATTGAAGAGTTCCATTGCTTGAAGGACCTGTGTGCTACTCTTTTAATTTCTATATATGGTGCTGGACACTTCTTCTAAAACAAAATTGGATGACAAAAACATCTAGAATATATCTTTAATATTTTTTGTATATTTTTCTTTGAATTATACAAGAATTTTTATCAATTGATATCTATTCAAAACCCCTGGTAATAAATGCATGCTTTTTTTTGTCTATGAACATCTAATGGTACTATAATTTTAAATTAAGAATATCTTGAACAATTATCAGTAGGTAAGGTCCGCTGCGTATGTCCTTAATATCAGACTTGATTAAAATTCTGGCAAATTACTACTACTGCCCCAGCTCGACTTAAAATGGTAGATATTACTTCTCAGTGAAAAATGACCCCCCCCCCCCAAAAAAAATGAAATGTTTCAAGTCTCAATCTATCAATCTATCAATACTATTTTAGCTCAGAATACAGGTATCTGATTGGTGAATTGTTCAATGATTGTATATGCCAACTGCATGATTTAATGAAATCTCTACTTATGGCGCTTGCAGCTTGAATTGATTCTAATGTTACATTAATTTTGCATTGTAAAATTCTATAGTGCAATTTTTTTTTTAATTTCCAAAATGTATCATGTCACATGTTTTTCAGCTTCTTTGAATCTTAATTGAGCCTTATTAATAGGGATGGGTATCGCCAAAAATTTCGTATCGTGATATATCACGATTCCCCCCCCCCCCCAAAAAATATCACGATAATATCGTGATATTTTTACACGGAATTTTTACTACATTTCTGATGAATTTCTGTAATTTTTCTTACAAATACGCTGTAAAAACATAACTTCAATTTCTTCATTTTAATTTATATAATATAAATCATGTTTGGATGCCGTAATTTAACATTTTTCAACATTTTTTAGACTCTCTGTAATTTTTATTTAATAGTTCGAATATATAAATGAATAATTTCTGCAATTTTTAATTATGTACCAAATACCGGTATTTTAGTCTCCGTATCACGATACGTATTACACAATAAAAAATCACGATATACCGGTATACCGATAAAATCGCGCATCCCTACTTATTAAAGATATATAGAAAAACAAACCACTCTCACAAAAAACTTGACATCTTGTTGCCACTTACGCAATGAAAAAACTATTAGAATATGTACGCTCATTAATAAGATAAAATTAGTCTCTCGGTTAATGTATATAAAAGACCTGATGCAGTATTTAAATGAATAAATATACAGTCAAATATCGTTATCCCGAACCCGATTGGATCGATAAAATTTCGAGATATTCGAGGACTGGAGATATTGAGGTTAAATATAATATTTTAGAGGTCCGTGTTTGCCCTGCTCACATTATTTTGTATAATTGAAATACTTATCAATATTCTCAGATTTCTTTCAATTCATAAAGAAAAATGTGGTTGGGACTTCCAATGTAGTCCGCCTACACACGAATTGTGAAATTTAGAAATAAATATTGTTGTACAATGATGTAAAACTTTGAGATGGATGTGCTCCTCAGTTCTAACGAACATGTGAAAGAAACTGTAGCTTCTGGTGACAAAATGACAACACAAAATTCCACATTCTCTAGCAAAATATTTATTCACCAAATGTACCCTACACATTCTGCGCCATATACAGGTGATTCCCTAAAGTTGTATCACTATACATAGTCAATATCACATATGCTGACATATATGTTTGCGTGCATTTATTTATAAACTTGTTTACTATATAGAATATTGAAACTTACTTCCGGGAAGACCTTACTTATCTGCAAAATAATCTTCAGTGAATGTAAACAATAAAGTTGTTATCAAATATGTATCTATCGTGACTTGAACATTACTATACATGCATGTTTAACCATAATATCAGCTGGTATGGGAAAACAAAGTGAAGCAAAGTTTTCTCGCCAAATGTTTTGTTAAGGTCGATTTATATAAATGTATACTTATGGATGTAATATTTTTAAAAATATTTAATAAACACATTTCAATAAATCAATCCTGAAATCTCCCCAAAATGAGGAATAAAAAATAGTGAAAAGTTAATCTTCATGTTAAATAGAACACATTTGTTTATTATTTAAGTACGCCATGATGTGTTTTAGCTTGGTTATAATTTAAGGCATGTCAAACCATATTACATAACACATTATCTAGGTAATTGAGGATCGTTTTAGATAGAGAATTTCCTGTTCTGTTAATGCAGACTTCTAAGATGAACAGAAATTCTAATCCATTAGTAAACAAATCGCATGTTAAATTCCTATCCAGGTACAAAAGCCGTTTTGATACTGGATAATTGATGTGAAATTCTACATGAATTAAAGATATTTCACAAGAACTTCAATTGCACTCCATTGGCACATCACAATGAATCTTTTTCTGAGCGCTATCGAATCATTAAATCTCTTCTGAACCTTTCTTGAATACAGAATTAAAGCACCTGAACTGAATATTAACGAGACCCGAGGTCATCCGAATAACCGGAACTTGATTCACTTGTGATAGTCATTTGACTCCCGTTGGGGATATTTGGAGGGTTTTCTAATACGTTTTCAAAATGCATTGGACTAGAAATAATGCTGTGATCAGCCGTTAAGTCAATGGCGGGTCTTTCTAATTTAGTCACGTGGACAAAACAACATGGCGTCGAGATCTCTGTCTTTTTCGGTGGTTTGTATTTTGGGGCTTTCTTTTTCTCAGATTTTCGCCTTTTGTGCTTCGTTTTACTGAGACTCATGATTTCGTCATCAGGATTTGACGTCAGCTTATCTATCGTACTATGAAAATCCGAAGCGGCGGTCGAATGATCGAAACTAAGTCCCGCTAGTCTCGTGTGATCCGTAGACAGGGACATTGTGTGAAAATTCGGGTGTTCGGCTTTATACGTCGACAAATGATCGATGGCGTCTTTCCAGAGAAGAAAGCCCGTGCCTTTTTCTGCCAAAACAATTTGTAACTTCCGGTTTCTGTGGTGATCCCCGGTGTCTAAAACCAACACGGGGATACCTGTCATGGCGAATTTCCACTGGTCTTGGTTCCCTTTAACTTTCCCGAAATAAAGATTGGCAAGACATTGACACACAAAAACTTCAGTCTTGTGACTACGATAAAACATATCCACTTGTAGCAAATCTTCTTCTGTCACGCCCTCGGCAAAGTTACACACATTTAGTCCAGGTCTATTTGAACCACTAGGAGTTGGGTCCGAAATATCTGATATTGTTAGTCGTTCTTTGCTCCCAGATAAATTACTTTTGCCCTGTGGGCCGAATTTATCAACGGCATCATATTTCTCTGAGATTCTGTTAATTCCTTGTTTGGCCTGCTGGGCCTTCTGTTGCATATGAATAATGTCCTCTGTCGTACAGTAAGTACTCTCCGAGCTGTCGTGAATCGTTAGGCCCTCCATTGAGGGCAAAGGCACACTACCGATATCTGGCCCCGGCTGATCGTCCACAATTGGAGGAGGTGGCGGTGGTAGCTCCATAGACACATCCATCTGTCTCAGAAAGCTTTGTGTATCCTTAAAATTTTGAATGTAAATCCACTGAATATATCCTGTTATACGCTAAACTAAACATGTAATTGTTATCAAACTTGCACACGATTACCGGAACAACACTAACTATACTGATTTAGCATCTCACTGCGATGACGGCGGAAGCTGTGACGTTTGACTGTATCCTTAATTCAAGATGACTGTGTCGGTTTTCTTAAAGCAAAACAATCACAAGCGTGTAAGTGTATTTCGCCTATATATTAAACCACTTGTCACCGGAGATATATTTATTTATATACATATCCAATTATTTACTGGGCAAAATGTACATGTATTACCATGCATATGAATAAAGAGAAAAAAGGAAAATCGATTTTTAAGGAGTTTCAGAAAATTTCCCTCTTCCTTGTACATTTATAATATTATACATACTTATCATGTAATTAGCCTCATCACACAAATATCACAAACTTATTTTAAGGTATCACACGCATGGTTAAGGTGGTGCCTACGGAAGCTGTGACATCACACATGTATTGCAGGATTATGTTGGTTATCACTAATTCACAAGGAACAGATCAGTTGCAATTTTTAACATGCATCAGCAGACCTGCAGTATGCAAACGGTGATCTGTGGAAAAAAGAGGAAAAACATGGTTTATTCAAATTCCTTAAATATTATCATCTACTGAACCAAAAATCTCTGATGACACTGTTGCTCTACTGATTACAGTACAAATTAAGATGCACTTGGATAATCGGGACATGTAACTTTTTTGTCGAGTTTTCATATGTCTCTGTAACAGTTCTTCTTCCTCTAGATTAAGCAAAAAAAAAAAAGGTGTAGCTTTTTGAATTAATTTTCTTGCTGGGGGGGGTGGGGGGGGGTTAAAGATTTACCGTTTTAGAAGCCAAGTCAACGTTGTAAGAAATGTACATTAGTATTGCCTTTATGCATAAAGTTTTACTGGGGGCAAAATCAGAGAATGTGTACCATTTGTAAAATTGTTTTTACGGACGATTGACACATTACAAATACAAAACACATAGCAAAATGTACAAACAATTATTCAAAACAAAGAAACCTGAGCGCGAGGGGTACCGATGGAGTCTTCAGATAATATCTACTGACAGGAAAGTAAACAAGATATTTTTTCCCCAATATTTATCTATTTGCGTAAAGGAAGGACTTGTCCTTGAAATCAAAAAGATATTAATAAAATTCCAATGATCAGCCACTTAACAACGGGAGATAACTCCTCAAGAACGAGAAAGTTTGAATCTATACTTCAGTCACGTGACTAAATTAACACAATACTCACACAGGGCCCTTCATTTTTATGTCACTCTAATTTTTTTAAAGCAAGAAACAGTCTGAATATTTGAAACAAAAGATTGAGAAGGGCAACTAATCTAAGCTGCTCTTTTCTACTTCCTATCCTTAGCTTTAAGTTTATGTACTTAACACGGAAACACGTGTTGAAACAATTAATTGATTTCTAAACAAGATTTCCTTCTTTAATGCTTCAACATTTTTTCATGATTGTCTGATATAAAGAGAAGAGCACAATAACTATGCTCGAGCTAAAGGATGTGTTCGAGTACGTATTTTAACAATCTTTGCAATAGTTTCAATTTCTAGAAAGTATTTTTTTCATGAGATCAAACAATTTAAATTGATGAAATTAGGTCTATAACGTAGAGTGAAAAATTCTCGAGAGAGACGTTAAACAACGTAGAAGCAATTTCACCTGGAGTTGGGGGCAACTTAACGGAAATTCTCGACATGTACAACAACTGTTAAATAACTTTCTTTCTGTTCTACTGGTCTGTAAGGTAGAATGTGAAGGTACTTGATCAGTTAATGTTCATACATCTATGTCAAAGCCTACTGCTGAAGAGGGGTCAGTAGATTTAACAATGGTCTGTCGTTTCTTTTCCTTATATACAACCAATGATACACCTTTGTTCGAACCTTTATTTCGCCTTCAGAAGGCAGTCGCTCACCTCGATAAAGGACCATATTAATGTGCATTGCAGAAAATTCCAAAGCAGGACACCAACAACAAGGTGAACTAAATTACGGCCAACATATCAAACAAAAATCAATACAATCATCTTGAAAAGACACTGATTAAATCAGATATTTCTACCTTCCTACAGCGATTATCTTGTACCGCTGGTTACACTAATCGATAAATAACTAAAAACATATTCTAAATTCAACACTGACAATATGAATATTTTTCTCTAATTTGATGGCTTTAAGCATCTCGTTCCTCTTCATTCCCCCCATTCAAACCTTCTTGTTTAAGCCATTAAGCCCTTTACACGGTGAATATGAGGAGTGTTGCAATCACGAGAACGCTTATAAAACACTTGTCTGTTTCCGAATTCCTAGTCAGATTATGCTTCTGTTCCAAGTTTTGAGATGACATTTACTCGCTTTTGTTTCAGAGGTTCTAAACTGGTTCTATAAACTGGTTATATTACACACTGGTGAATTGCAGACGTTTTTTATGCCAGTTGAATCACTCAGCAGACGTGAATTAGCATTTTATTCATGACTTCGCATCATTCTTCGTCAGATCTTGGTCTTTTTCCTCGTTATTTATTTTTTTTAACCTTTACTCGTGAAACAATACTCTGAATGCATAACATTTACGAATATGAGACCTCGACCTTTTGACCTCAAAATCAATAGAGGTCTTCTTCAAGTCATAGGGAGTTACGATATCCTCTGTCAAATTTTATTGCAAAAGCTTATTAATAAGATCTTTTAGAGATATCACCCGGAAACAAAGTGTTAAGGCATAATGAAACGGGCGGACAGACAAACCCGTATTAATATCCCCCGATTTTGGGGTAAGCGGGGAACAAAAATGACGGGGATTTTACAAGGAAATGTAAGATAAAAATACATGGTGATTTTTTTTACGTTGAAAAATTGTGCTTAAATAGATAAAGATTTCTATGAATCTAAAAGAACTTAAAGTACTAGTTTGAGAGAGTGTAATTTTTCCTTCAGAAAAAAAGGAATGGAATTTTGTAGAATATTTTATGCTTTTCAGAAACCTGAATACAATTTTTTTTTTTTATTTATTTAAACGTAGGACAAGTTATTCATCGAATTTATTATTGGCATTCGATCACGTGGAGAGAAAAAAAGGAACTCACAAGTTTGTTTTTCAGTGTTTTCGATCCCGATATTCATTCTACATTCGGCAATTTAAGCCAAGAATCCTGATGGCGTTAAGAATCTATAAGATACTGCTTGATTAACCCCCCAGATTCTGAATCACAGTTGTTGCATGCATATACATATCATAAAATGTACAGAGATTTAATTCGTTTTGCAAAGGAATTCAGCATCACTCCTTTGTGGTGTTTTAATTAATATCCGGATTCTTACATAATGTACATTGTACTTGAATAGGCTACTCCCAAAACGTAAAATACTTGTGTATGATAAAACAAGCCTTTGTTTTTCTGTATAATTAGCGATGGGAATACCACGACAGTCTCTTGTTACAAGAGTATTCGAGTTACAAAAACACACCCTCCACTCGACATCTAAACTCTTCAACCCGGTCAATTGTCTCCCCGTCTGTGAGTAGAGCCATTTATTCCGGGTCCCAGGTGATTATCCCGGGTCCCAGGATATAGAGAATATTGCGAGAATCAATAGAGATTTCTATTATCGTAATAGCTCGTCAGAATACACAAAATATACATGAATCAATATCCGGACAGGCATTCATTTCTATTTATTGGTAATACCCCCCCCCCCCAAAAAAAAAAAAAATAAAGAAAAATTCTGAGGAACAACAAATGGACATCATATTTCAATTTTCAATTTGCTGCTAGCTTTAACTGGAAACGATAAACATGACACTGAAACATCAAAACAATATATGTGAATTCAGGTAAATAACCTTAAGCTTGTTTTCTTTTGTATGAGTCAAATTAAATGCTACATGTCATTATATAAATACTGTCTTTTTGTGCTTACCACTCATTATTTAAACCCTGCATTTCAACAACTTAAAACGTTTTAACGATATAGATTATGTAATTGGGAATTAATTTCAAAATTGCTTAGATGTAAGAAGACTGAGAGAAATTAAATAGATGTTAAATGGAAGGGAGGTATCTCAGTTAATTTTAATGCTAATGGATGGGCGCAGACCAACAGACAGACGGATAAATCGCTCAGGCAATAAAAACCATTAATTTTAGTGATAAAGAGCCATAAACTAAGTTGTTTAAAAGAATTACAAAAAATAATTATTAGCCTGCTGGTTTGTACCAAATTTTAATGATTCCTGATAGTTATTCTTACGTCACATTGTATATATCATGTATATAGAGTGAGTTCTACAAAATATCTCTAGCAATTATCGAGTTGTTAAAAATGGACGCCAGGTGTCTACCTCCCGACATAAGACAGCAGTCTCGCCCAAAGTTTATAGTCGAACTGAAATCATCTTTTATCTGCCTGCTTTCTTCTTATAATAGGTGTACTTGCTAGTAATTAATTAGAATGTTCTATTTATTAGCATGCTATATTAACATTTGCATCCCTTCTAAATTAAAGGATCAGGAAAATCAAAATAGATCTTTGTTCTACTTATTTAGATAATTAGATGACCGAGAACTAATCAGATACAAAAATAAGTGTTTTCTGAACAACATTTAAATGGTTGATTTTAAGTATTTCCTAAAAAGTAAGAGGGAAAGTAATTAAAGTTTCTGAAAAGTAGATAAAACCTATTGAAAAGAATACATAGGTGTACTTTGTTTAAATACTTGTCGCCCCACTCTTCCTGTTAACATAATATTATGACTATCATATATCATTTAGATCTATTGCTATTGGGCCATTAACCAGCGAATTGATAAATAAATACAGATATATGTTACTATATACATATGCATCTTCTATCTGCTACTAAATATAATTTCCGTATCAGTGTGGTCACGTGGGCTGATATCTCTACAGATCTGTGATAGAGAATGACATCCGGGTCTGACACAGATAAACAGATGATAAAGAAGACATTACTTATCAACTGTCAATATACATGTGTGTGCAGGACTGTCGGGATGATAAAGATTGTGAAAAATGTATCTTTGAATATATGGTGTAAAATATAAAATAATATTGGGTCTGAAGTTAACGTTTTTGATAGGGCATGTACATGTAGCATTTTTTTAAAAAAAATTTTGTTTCAAATGTTTCCTGGAAACTTTAACAAGCACAAATCATATTTTAAAACCCTCATTACGGGGAGGGAGAGGGGGTTCGACCATACTGCAACAAAAAGCAATGGGGGGGGGATAAATGGCCATTCAATGATATTTCCAATATAATTAATAGACTAATTTGCACAAGACTTCGGGGGGATACCCACTCCTCCCTCTCACCCGATACTACGTACCTGTTTGATTATATGGTTAGATATGATTTGAATTAAGTACATGTATATTTATCTGACATAGTCTACATCAATTTCATCTCTCTCTCTCTCTCTCTCTCTCTCTCTCTCTCTCTCTCTCTCTGAATTTTTGTCACATGCTAAGAATGATACTAAGATTAACAAATTAATTAATGAACAGTGTATAGAGATGACAAACCTGCATCTATTTGTTCGAAGCATTCAATACAACCCAGTGATTAATCCCAATGCATGATCTGTCAATCAGTTTGCGCCTCTCGAAATACTCCCACGCAGACGTGCATACATGTGCATTTATCAAAATTTTCTGATTTGTGTGAATCAGATATGAAAAAATAGAATGACACGGAGATTGCACATTAAGATAGAAAAAAGAACCCGCATTATATGTTGGTTTTTCCATCTTTTATTGCCATTGAGAAGTTTTATGACAGAGGAAATCTTGATAAAAAGGAAATATTGACAAAACATTCCCCCACTTCAACGGCCTTGGACGTCCATAGGTAATGCATAATGCACAAAAGCGACAGAGAGATTCGAATTCTTTATAAATCAATGCCCTTAAAGAACTCTAGTTCTCTTGTCAAGTTAAAAATTCATTATGCTATTTAAACCCTTAATTACATTGAATCGATCAGTATTTCCACATGAATTTATTTCACTGTATTAAATATGAATAATTCATAATAAAAACAAAATGTAATCTTTTGAAAAGCGATGTATTTCTGATCGAAGATTTCATGGAGAGAGAGAGAGAGAGAGAGAGAGAGAGAGAGAGAGAGAGAGAGAGAGAGATATTAAATTGCCATATATTTGGAATATGTGTGTGTCTTCACCAATAACCACATACTTGAGTGTTATTAGTATATACATTTAAAAACTCCTTTTATCTTCGCTGTAAATACTCAGAATTCCATTTGTCAATTCATAAAAGGAAATTGAAACTGGTCATAAATCGAGTACAATTGCTTCACGTGATAATAACATTCCAAATTTTGTTTACATACGCAGAGACTCAGAGCATAACAATTAATGACTATACACATGAATAACAAGTGAAGTAAACTTTATTAATGTTTATCAAAAATAGGTTCCATGTTGTTGACTTCATTTTTTCTATATACGAAATGGTGTTAGTTTTCACCAGGCTTTATCTTTATATAGATCTTCGGGATATTTTTTAAAGCAAAAGTTAGTTTCAAGATTGATATGTAGGCGGTGATGTGACTTTTTCAAAAATGTTATGTCGTTTGTAAAACAATTATAGGGTATAAAATTAACCAAACAAGTTCAAAAGCTACCAAAAACAATTTGATAACTTGGGGATGGGGATGGGTAGGGATCTTTAGCTATTTTTGTCTACGGATTTTGTTTTATCTTAAATCGTCGCATATTTCAGAAATTTCCGAAAATAGTCCACGACAAAATTCCTCTGAGCTCGTGTCTTATCGGGCTATGTACTTCCTTTATTTCAAACTCTCAATGTCAACAATAATTGTGACATTTCATTTTAAGTCGGTAGCAACTTAAAATTTCACCTTTGTTGATAAGAATAGGGGTAAAAAGCACATTTTAGCGGTTAGAGGCCCCTCAGGGTGAATAATGGGTTTATTAAATTTTGCACAAGCATTTTTTGTTCGTTAATGGGGTACGAAAGTCGATGCATGGTTTAGTAAACAATTTTGATATAGAAATCAGATAAACAAAATCAAATAAGTAATACGATATTATAATTTTGTTCTAATGGTAAATTTCTCTTTCTAAGTGCTGTTTATGATAGTTTTTGTGTTGTTTTGTGCCAACATTCAACATGTTGGAATAATTAGATTAAGTAAAAGATAACGATTCCCGTGTTCTCTATGACTAATAATATATTGGTCGGGTAAGGAAAGAAAATAAGACCTCTCAACATATCGTGAGAGAGTGATTTTAAATATTCTGATCTGTTTGATTATGTAACTGGCATGGACGTTTTTCTAAGATTAACGTATAATATACATGTGTATTGCAGAGTTGAACATATTGAAGGCAAGAAAAACAGAAACAACTCCTGTACAGCGGTCAAAAGGGGAATTTTTGATAACTGATTAATTCTTCCCCAATCCTCTCATCTCTCTCTCTCTATATATGACTCCCGTCTCTCTCTGTGTGTGTCTGCATGTAGTTAGATCTGTTTCTTTCTTTCTCTCTGTCTTTCTCTCTCTCTGTATTCTTTCTTTCTTTCTCACTGTCTTTCTCTCTCTCTGTATGTCTCCTATGTCTGTATCTCTCGTCCTCTCTCTCTCTCTCTCTCTAACAGTTGTGACACGGAACACGAGCTTCATCCAGATAACACATTTTTTGCCAGATAAAAAAATTTAAGTTATTCAAAAACACTAGAATGAATATGAAAGATTGAAAGATTTTCTATTTCAGGGAGTCGTGGAAATCGGGAGCATATTCACCTCTCCCCCCCCCCCCCTTCACTCCTCGTGACAAATTGTTAAATCTGTTACATCAACTGATTACTTCTTAAATAGGAAATACCAAATATCTTGGTTTCGCTTTATTTTCTAAATTTGAATTTATCATTTCTTAAATGTGTAAAATGAAAACAAAAGATATTCATTGTCCCAACATCAAGGTTTTTTTTTTTTTTTTTTTTTTTTTAAATCTTATACAATGGGTATTGACTTACCTTTGGTAAATTAGGTTTTAAACATCCTGATCGAAAAAAATTTCCGGCACAAATGATTCACTTTAAACACGTGGTGAAACTCACAGGTAAAAATTCATGGGTTGTTTACAAAACGTATTACTCAACGATACGGAAAGAAAAAAAAATAAATCGGTAACGTGCTTTTAACCCGTAGATAATAAATGCAGCACTTATGAACCAAAGCGCTTGCTGTTCACAATATGTGATGCAGACGAGGGTTGTTTCAATGGCTCACATCCGAAAGTGAATCATAACATTGGTGTGCGTTTTCGTCTGCAAGATCAATAGGTTCCTCTCTCTCGTCTGCCATCACGGAATGACATTTACCTAGAAATGAGTGGGCGGATCAAAAACAAATTTTGCTCTGGCATTTTCTAAATTCAACCCGTTGCATGACTGATAGAGATGAGATTCATTAAATATGCATGCTTATTTAATTAGTGTTCTTAAATATTTACCACAGATGACCAGATTTAAGAGACACATGTGGGAAAAAATATGGTATTGTTTATTACTGTAATCAATCTCGGAAGGGGAAATTGTCCATGGGTTGAATTTTTCCAGTTTCACTAAAGTTATGATGTTTGGTCTTAAACACTTTATTTCCATAATTTATATACGAGGACACTGGGTTTATATAAACGATTCATTGATTGATTAGGAAAATTTCGGATAACCCCTCCATTGTACCCATTTACATTAACATTCAGTTCAGTTCGCTGTATTAACTTGAGCTCTTCAGTTACAAATAAAAATGCCAAAAAAAAAAAAAAAAAATATTCTTTTTAAATTAGATTAGTTATTGTATTTTAGTCTTGCTTAGTACCAGCGTTAATTATGGAAGTAATTTGCAAATTTATGCCTGGTTTCGATCAAAGTCCTAAATAATACATTATACAGTTAATGTACTTCAAATCCTAAAAAAAAAACAAGTTTCGTTTTGAAAACAAACAAACAAACACTCTTGACGCTGTGTTTTATGAGACTTTTTAAGTAGAGAGGATGCGGTATTCCTGTACGCCCAGGCATGAGAGAGAGAGAGAGAGAGAGAGAGAGAGAGAGATTAAAATATGACTAAAATTATCTCACTTGCTCTGGATGATTGAAAATGCAGTTTTTATACCAGCTTCGCCCGTATTCTCAGGAAAGGCGTCATATTTAAATTTGTTTTGCAGGAGTTGGGGGGTGGCGGTTAACACTCCTCATCCAAATAGCTACATAACCCCAACCTCCCATGCACCCAAACCCCCTTAGTTAAGCTTCATATGCTTTTCTTCCCATGTGCCTGGTTTTAATTATAATAAATGAATGTGAAAATTGTGTACCATTGTTCCATAGAATTCCCTTCAATAAAATGATAAAATTTAATAACAGTCAGCATTTTAACTGCATGGGTTCGTTATTCCCTTCCTAAGAATTAAATATTCTTGCCCGCTTTTGTATAGAGAGTGCATTTTATTGTAGTATTTCAATGAAAATCAATTTTATTTCCTAGTTTATCTATTGGCATTATCTAAAATAAACTGCAATATGAATACATCAGTATCGGAGTTTTAGTTGCTTAATACATGAATCTGTGAGAAAAAATCGCAGTTTTAAATCATAGACTGTATATTCATACAAATCATTGTACATGTAGATATATTTATATATCTATATAATAATATAATAAATTTATATATTTATGATGTGTTGATGCATTTACCACAAAACCATGGATGATCTCGTGAAATAAATGAGTATTCTATTGTACACTATAGGAGTATTCTATTGTACACTATAGGAGTATTCTATTGTACACTAGATCCTTTGTCCTTGTTGCATTATATAAAATCTTGCATCATTTTCTACCCATTGCAATTCCTATAAAGGCGATAAACATATCAACACTCCTAGTACAACATGAAGGAAGACGTGAGGAGGAAGCTGTTCCGTACATTCTATATTGTTTTATTTAAGGTATATCGACCCTCTGATAAGAGCAATAACTCTAACTGGGATGAATGACTATTCCTTATAACATTTTCAAGTTTAAAAAAGGCCATTTATGTCAAATTTTGCCCGGCAAAGTATGTTGAAAATCTGTGCATTTGTGCATGAATAGCCATAATTCCTAATACACACATATAAATTACATTTTTTTTTGGGGGGGGGGGGGGGTGGGGACCATTAGAATTTAAGCAGAATTGTATATAAGTGAACAGAGGGGCATTAATACTAGTAAACAAATGAAACAAAATAGCAAAATGGAGTAAAATATTGGAGAACTAGAGGCTAAATCAATTTTGGAGACATTTTTGATTCCCCTATTCGCTTAGCTTTTCCTCATTTTCTTCAATGCAGCCTGATTTGATTTTTCAGTGGCATGCTTGTCAAGATGTACTTCGGGGCTGAGACGGTTTGCCATCGGGCAACACCCACGGGTGATCTCGTCTATATATAAAAAAAATAGAATTCTTGGACACGTTTATAAACGAGAATTATTTAAGTAAAGTTTGAAAAGAACTGCACTATACATATAGTGGGCGTAAATGACAAAATTCTGACCAACAGTCTAGATAACTTTTCCTGTCATATATTGTATTTTTAGTTCGGGATTTATAACAAAGTTCAGAATATTTGTGCGCCACGGTGCTCAGTGAAGAGAGTGAAAGTAAGAGTAGAGTATATAGAAATATAATACATCTTAGTTTGAATACCTTTGGAACTAGATTTTCTTTCTTTCTTTTTTTTTTTATAATCAACATTTGATAAGTTCTTTAAAATGCCGAATAATTTCATCAGTTACATGGACATGTTTCTTTCTATACATAAAACTATATATATATGTTGAATAAAATAAAATAAATATACAAAATGATAAGATATGAATATTATGACAAGGAAAGCTGCCTTCAGCTGATTCAAAAAAGTATTTAAAACACTCTTTGCTTTTGGACAATATCCAATTTGTGTTTCTTGATAAAGGTGACAAGTACATGTATATTAAAAAAAAATGCAGTGCCATTTCAAGAACCGTTCTATAAATAATCAAATGAGCATTTAGAAAATCGCAGAAAATGATGACTTACTAGTATACTATTGTATATATGGTCTCAAGTGGGTCATATTTTCACATATAATTTCACTTGAAAAGCAATGAAATGAGTTATAAAACCTTGTTGTGAGGTAAATTTTTGCCTATTAAAAAAATAATAATGAGGAAAAAAATCCCTTAATGATGAAAATTGGAATTATTTAAACTTTAAAACGTTATGCATTGATCATTGAGAATAATTTAATTATAAAATCATGAAGCCAGAATTTCAAATCTCAAAATATTTTTAAAATTCTAGATTAGTAAGTAAAACTTTTCTTTTAAATTGCGGTTACAAACAATCATGTATGTTATGAGTGATATATATTTAAATGAAATTAAATAATTAAAACATAAAACTACACCTATGTAATGTACGGTTCTTTTATTCAATGAGAGTTATTCCTCTTTGATCCTAAATATATTTTATTATCCAAACAGCATTTCTCTTTTTCATGCTTGAATGGTCGTTGGTAAATAATCATCTTAACCATTTAATACACTGACATGTATATATATAAATAAAAATTACTTCTGAGGCAAATTACTGCACAGGTAACTAAATGACTTTCAGAGTTCACCTAACGGGTAATAGGCGTGCCTTTATTAAAGCGTACGGCCGACTATGAATATATTGCAGAAGAGCAATTTTTGCGGGAAAAATGAAAGAATTTTCAGAAGAGTAAGAAGTGATCCTGAACATGTTAAATGGTACTCATAGTTGGTTATCACCTATTCAGGATAATATTAGGTTAGAGTTTGTATGTGTTATTTCGAAATACTTTTATTTATTGGACAGAAAAAGAGTTCACCAATTTCGAATTTCCTCAAGTGTGTCAACCAATAGATGAGATGTTTCCATGAACCAGGCAATCTGATTAAAATCAGATCCTCGATGCTCCTTTGTTAAAAAAGGAGCATCGCGGATCTGATTTTAATCAGATTGATGAACCAGGTCCAGTACAATCAGTACATTTAGCTACGTAGCTGAAATTACCTACCGTAGCTTTATTTACCTACCTCAGGTAGCTTTATTTAGCTATTTCAAGTTATGTTATATAACTATATTCAAAAATTTACAAGACGTGTCATCTAAACAGGGTTCGACACTAACTTTTTAAGGCTTTAGTCCGGCCGGACTAGTGCTTCTTTACTTTTACTAGTCCGCACGCGATTTTACGAGTCCGTCAAAAAAAGAAAGAAAAAGAAACATCTGTGTTTTTTAACATTAATTTAACTTGACAATTAATATATGTTTTATACTTTTTTTGAAATAAACAAAGCATTTACATGAAATATATTATTCCACAGATTCGCTGAAATCTCGCAATCAGCACGTACAACCATATTCCCGATCTCATTCTATTTTTTGTTGTTGTTGTTGTTTTTTTGTCTTTACATTACATCCAAAACGTCCAACATCTTTCTATAAAGTGTCATACTAAATCATGATCGCTAAAAACTTTTTACTTCATATCAATCACTCAGTCGAAAAATTAAGCGCTGAATTGACTCAAAATTGTGTAACTACCTGCTAAAACCTAGAAATCTAAAAATACATGCGGGGTTTTCCAGTAAAAGTTGTTGAGAATCGGACATTAAAGTAATTTATTCATATTGTTTTCCAGAAATTTTTATTGGTCCGCTTGGACTAATTAGCCACAGATTTTATTAGTCCGAATGAAAATGTATTAGTCTGAGACTAACGGACTAACGTTAGTGTCGAACCCTGCTAAAGTGTTCCTTTTTCTATTGTTAAAAAAAAATTTCTGCTTCTGCATAGGATTGAACCACAGGCACTTGTTTCTGTGATAAATTTTTGACCCATAGTATACTGGTATAATAATAACACAAGGTATCCAACTCCGTATTACACATAGTATCCCCCTCCCTCAGAATCGCACTCATTTACAATTTCAGACGACATTTACTGGCAAACTGTTTATACCTATGTCTTCTGCGATAATTTATCTACACAACCATATATGGCATGCATGTCTTTATTTTCTTTTAACCCTGTAAACAGTGTCAAAACTCTGCTCACCAAGTGGAAAAGTCGAACTCAACAATGAAAACGTATGTGCTAATCCTGGGCAGGGAGCACTCAAGACGGGGGTACTCCGTGTAATACGGAGTTGGATACCTTGTGTTATTATTATACGATGGATTAAAAATTTATTATAAATTAGAAAATTTATTAGAAATTTATCAGAAACAAGTGCCTGTGGATTGAACGGCTGCAGTGCATTACCAAAAATTTTGAAAATTGGTTGGATATCATTTACTGGGGGTGTAACAATATGACCAAAATGTATCTAAAATGTATACTAAAATGTAGTATTATTAATTACATAGTTTTATATTGGCCGAGTACAGTATGATACCTGGAGTAAATTTTATACCTGGCAAGGCGAAGCCGAGGCAGGTATGAAATCTACTAACCAGGTATCATCCTTTACCCAGTCACTACGAATTTATGTAATGACTTTACCCCACCAATGACAAAACTATGTATTCAGGTGTCTATAGTATAGTTTGTAAAATTGATTCTCCCAGCTGTATGTTTCATCACTCCCATACAGTGCCTATTATGATGTCATGTTGTGCTATGTAACATAGTTTTTGGAGTGTTTCGTGAAATAGTAATGTACTCACAGTTTTGAAGAATTCTGATATCAGGAGAACAATGTTCCATATTGTGTGTTTGTTAGCTCACCTGAGCCGAAGGCTCAAGTGAGCTTTTCTGATCAAAATTTGTCCGTTGTCTGTCGTCGTCAGCGTCGTCAGCGTCGCTGTTGTCGTAAACTTTTCACATTTTCATCTTCTTCTCCAGAACTACTGGGCCAATTTCAATCAAACTTGGCACAAAGTATCCTTGGGTGAAGGGGTTTCAAGTTTGTTCAAATGAAGGGCCACGCCCTCTTCCAAGGGGAGATAATTACGAAATAGCAAAAAATTAATGGCATCATTGAAAAATCTTCTTCTCAAGAACCAGTGGGCCAGGAAAGATGAAACTCATGTGGAATTATTGTCAGGTAGTGTAGATTCAAGTTTGTGCAAATTATGACCCCCTGGGATAGGGTGGGGCCACAATGGACGATCAAAGTTTTACATAGGAATATATAAGAAAAATCTTCAAAAATCTTCTTCTCAGGAACAGCAAAGCTATGATTGGTCATATTTATTTTGAAGCATCCTCAGGTGGTGTAGATTCAAGTTTGTACAGATCATGACCCCTGGGGGTAGGGTGGGGCCACATTGGACGATCAAAGTTTTACATAGGAATATATATTAGGAAAAAACTTCAAAAATCTTCTCAAGAACAGCAAAGCTATGATTGGTCATATTTATATGGAAACATCCTCAGGTGGTGTAGATTCAAATTTGTTCAAATCATGACCCCCTGGGGTAGGGTGGGGCCAAAATGGACGATCAATGTTTAACATAGGTGTACATAGGAAAAATCTTCAACATGTTCAAAAATCTTCTTCTCAAGAACAGCAAATCTATGATTGGTCATATTTATGTGGAAGCATCCTCAGGTGCTGTAGATTCAAGTTTGTACAGATCATGACCCCTGGGGGTAGGGTGGGGCCACATTGGACGATCAAAGTTTTACATAGGAATATATAGGAAAAATCTTCAAAAATCTTCTTCTCAAGAACAGTAAAGCTATGATTGGTCATATTTATGTGGAAGCATCCTCAGGTGGTGTAGATTCAAGTTTATTCAAATCATGACCCCCTGGGTTAGGGTGGGGCCACAATGAATGATCAAAGTTTTACATAGAAATCAGGGATTTTTTTAGGGTCTCTCCGGGGCCGAAATTCGGCCCTATTCCCAATGCTGAAAAGTGCATGTTTTTCCCAAAATCATACATAAAAATTCCCAATATGAAAAGAAGTATTAAGTTGTAAATTATTAAAATAAAATAATGACAAAAAGGTGTTTATGTTCTCTATGTGCGATGTACGAGCCATCCGAGGACTTCCGAGAAGTTATTCGAAATACTATGGATGTTTGCATGCATACTTTTTAAAGTGGGATCGATGTTTAAAAATTAAAGTCGGGATCGTTATCTAAAAAATAAATGTGCATCATGTCAGTCTCTCCGGTTTGCCTTGGTCAAACAATACCAATTAACCACTCATCTGGAACAAACCCACTATCAAATATTATTTTAAAGAACTTCTTACATAAAGGTAAAAAAGATGACAACGTATAAATATGTTCATTTACAATGTTATCATACCCTGCGGCTTTGCCATTTTTAAGCTTCTGAACTTCAACAGCCGCTATTATTTCATATCACTAAAGCTGGTTTAAGCCAGCTTCATACTATAAAAAATAAGAAAAATGATTAAATATTTGACTTTTGCTTGTTTTTTCATATTTATTTGTATGAAGATATTTTTCCCAATTTCAACCAAATATCGCTATTTTTCCCAATCTTGACGGCCCCGGCCCCTGGAATCAAGGGGTAAAAAAATCCCTGGAAATTTATAGGAAAAATCTTTAAAAATCTCAAGAACAGTACAGCTATGATTGGTCATATTTATGTGGAAGCATCCTCAGGTGGTGTAGATTCAAGTTTGTTCAAATCATGCCCCCCCCCTCCCTTTTTAGGGGTAGGGTGGGGCCACATTGGACGATCAAAGTTTTACATAGGAATATATAGGAAAAATCTTCAAAAATCTTCTTCTCAAGAACAGCAAAGCTATGATTGGTCATATTTATGTGGAAGCATCCTCAGGTGCTGTAGATTCAAGTTTGTTCAAATCATGACCCCCGGGGGTAGGATGGGGCCACAATGAACGATCAAAGTTTTACATAGGAATATATAGGAAAAATCTTTAAAAATCTCAAGAACAGCAAAGCCACGGTTTGTCATATTTATGCGGAAGCATCCTCAGATAGTGTAGATTCAAGTTTGTTCAAATCATGACCCCCCCCCCCACTCCCTTTTTAGGGGTAGGTTGGGACAACTTATGCATTTAAGCTTTTCAATACTAAACTGATTTTTCCTTTTTTCCTAGCCACAGTGCTCAGGTGAGCGATGTGGCCCTTGGGCCTCTTGTTACTGACCTTAGTTAACTTTTTACTTGTCAACAGACAGTCAGCAAACTTCGTGACAAGATGTAGGAACTCAAGTTGTTCCAAGTTTTACAAAAGAAACATAACTCCGTATTGACAGTGTATTGATTTTCAAGTGACCATATAATTATTACACCAATCTTAAGACAGGATTTCATAAAAAAAACATCGGAGGAGGGGTAAATCATGATACATTGGAATTGTATGACACATATTGTGACATTTCACCCTTCATAATTTTTAATTTGTATTTCTCTGTTCTGAAATGAGAAATTCTCTTACAATGATGTGAAAGGATAAAAGTTATAGATTATTTCTTTAGTTCATGAAAACATTTTGTAATGTTTAATAAGCTTTAAAGACAAAAAAAAAACCCAGCATAAGTAACTAAAGAAAATCACTTTTATTAGGTAAAACTAAAAAGAAATAATATAAATGGCTTAATAAAATGCTATACAGTGAAACCTCATTATTTTGAACTCTGGGGGACCGGAAAAAAAAAACTTGGAGATATACGAGGACTTGAGATATCAAGATAACGAGGATAAATTAATAAAAGAATAAGTGATTGGGACTTCCAAATCACAGACATATCTGTTAAATTCGAGATTTCGGTGAATGAGATACCCATGCCAATTCAACTGTATATATATCAAGATACACAGGTATAAAGTGTTTATACCATGATATGGTATATTTTTGTGTATTGTGGTATACCTGTATATCAGAACAATATTACTTCCCTATTTTTACAGTAAACCTCATTGCCAAAAAATATTACTTATCATGGCCGAAAATTCTAAATGAAGCATTTCACATTAAGTTCAATGATCAGATGGATAAGTTTTTCATTAAGGCATTTAAATATATTCCTGTTTTTGGATATTATCAAACAAATTCTAGTTAACAAAGTACAGACTGAGAGGTATCTTGAAGTTTTTAAATTGTCATGCCAGATATTTCCATTGCAGTTACTGATATATATACATTATTATAACAGTAACTTGATCCGAAGAGTCGTATCACGTCGAGTGAAGCGTCTTGTTTGAGCTGATGATCCGCGCCTGTCAACTCGACGTGATACGGCTCTTCGGATCAAGTTACTGTTATAATGATAAATTTATTATATACCCCCTTACAACTAGCAAAATATAGTTTTAAATAAACTTTTGAGATCAATTAATAAGATTTTTCCATTAAACAAAGCATTTTGTCTACGAACTTTTTGATGCGCATGAAAAATAACGTCATGTTTCTGTGTACTACGTCATCAATTTCAGAGAGGGGTGATATGGATTCAGAAAACCACAGTGTGGTGATCCAGAAAGTCGGATCACACCGTCACGTGATTGTACGAAATCTACAGTAAAATTGAGTGATACACTCTTGGGTATATAATAAATGAATTTTCATGTGATTTAAGCATTATATTTCAAAAAATCTTAATTAAAATTGTTTGTATCTTTTTTCTTTATAATGTGGATTATTAATAAATTGTTTTAAATCATCATTCTCAAAGTCCTCTGCCATTTCCCGACTCATTCCTTGTGCTACTGGAAGCCTGAGGTTTTTAAGATTAATTTTGATTTTCGGAAAAGCTAAACATTGATTTGGAGATTAACCAATAAGATTTTCAGTATTGACATACAGTTGAACTTCAGTATCTCGAACACGGATATCTTGAATACCATGGATATGTTGCAGGGCTCTCACACCACTTTTTGGGACTGGGGCTGGGGCCGTAAAAATTGGGAAAATTAGTGACCTTTTGGGTAATTTGGGAAAATCATAACTAGACATTATGCTTAAATTCATGATATATTGAGTTTCTGGTGGTTGTTATCAACTAAATTTCTGTTTTGTAATGCAGAGAAATATGAATTACAAGTTTAGTAACTATATATCTTACTAAATGTTCTTTAATATTTAGGGAAGTGATAGATTAATTTGGGAAAATTAACACATTCAATTGGGAAAAAAGGTGTCTTTTTTTAATTGGGAATGGGGCCTTTGAACGGCCCCAAATATAGAGAATCGAGAGCCCTGTGTTGAAGTGATTGAGAAATCCTTACCACGTATTTCATAAGTATTTTACCCCAGCGATTTTTTTCTACCCATTGGGAAAGGGTCCGATACCGGTTCAGTTGGGAAAAATAGCATCGAAGTAGATCAAAGGAGAATTTTCTGGCATTTAAACAAATGAAACGTATTTTCAGTTTATTCCAACTTCATTACATATTACCCCGTGTTTTAAAGAATAAACAACAAGTATTTATTGTTTTTCGTATCATTGTCCCTGTTTTCGCATTTTCATGCTTTCAATTTGTCAAAATGTATGACATTACGCTGTCTACACCACAGGTCCCCCATATTACGACTAATCTCTACTTTCGATTCAAGCAGAAGTGAAACAATTTGTCAACTTGTACAACATGTACAATGTTTCATTTAAAAAGAAATACGATGTCATCATAGTCTGTTGCTTGGCAGTTGAATTGGGAATTTTTAGTTTCAAAATTGGGAGAAATTAATGCTTTTTGGCATTTGGAATGGTACCGTTTATCAGTGCCAGTTATATAAGGAAAAAAAAACGCTGTACCCTCGATATTTTGAACCCTCGGATATCCCGAAGTTTTATCTCAGTCCCATCGAGTTCGAGATAACGAGGTTTAACTGTATATTAATAAGTGTTTTAACTTAAGTATGGATAAAAAAAAATTTCGGTAATGCAATATCAGTTTTTGGTAATGCAAACTGTAGATTGAACTTGGATTTCTGGATTACAAGTCATGTGCTCTACTGATTAACACGTAGTAGGAAGGTGTGCATCGTCACATGAACGCATATACAACTAGGTTTATTTTTTTAATTTCTTAATCTTTGACATGTCTATGTGGTATAATCTCTTACAAGTAAAGTAACAAATTCAGATCCTGAGCTGCAGTAGCTCATTCAGTAATCCATTGTTTTAGCTAATTAAGCTAATTGTTGCTACATGTAAAGTATAGAATTTTTATAAATATGAAAATTGTCCACCCTTGTTATTCTTACATGATAGGTTCAATAAATATATACAGGTACATTTTATTGTAACTACTAACCTTGTAGATGAAATAAAAGTAAATATGCATGTAGCCATGTACACGTTTGTGTAACCTTGTCGATGAAATAACAGTAAATGTGTACACATGTTTGTGTAATTTTGTAGATGAAATAAAAGATGGATGTATTTGACTTGAGCAGTCAGGAAGAGTTCTCTCCCTTTAAACCTCTCACAAAACGAGCTAGGAAAGTCTTTGATAAACCCAGCGATGTTGCTGTTTACCCTGGCAACAAAAATACTGACACAGGAACATTGACCAAAACTTCAGAAAATTTACATGACAGTCCAGCAGGTGTTGGCAATTCTAAAAATTTATCAGGAGGAAATAACACATATTCTTGTATTGATGAACTTGGTGTGGAAGTAAATTCTGAGATTAAAGATTACAAACTGAAAGCAGAGAGAGACTGTGGTAAACCTGTGTATATTTACAGCCAGGAATTGATTCAATGCTGTTATGCAATGCCTAAAATCATCAATAGGGTAAAAAAGTGTTTTCTTTTGTTAAGTTTAAGTTCAAATGCAAATGATAAACATGTACATCTGTCTGAATTATCACCTATTACTGGTAGTATACCTCTTTTTTTTTTACAGGCAAGTATGGTTCACAGTTTAATTGAAGCATACGGATTACTCCAGTTTATGCAGTAAGTCACTCCTAACAAAGTATGTCAGCTTGAACAGTTAAGATAACCAAAACAATGATAGGTGTTCATTGTGTAGTTTATATTGGAAATGGTGGAATATTGAGAGACAGAGTTAAATATTGTGTTCTCCCTGTAATTAAAACAAATGCTGATCCACCAGTCTTTATTCAGTTGCATCAGTAAGATTATTTTTGTCATACTATTTAAAAGGAAACACACCCATGCCACCATTTCAGTTGTTTTATTGTGACAGACTTTATTGTCAGGGTCACGCCCCCACGTAGAGCCTTGGACCAGGAGATGTCGGGATTCCATGCTAAAGATTACATTGACTTCCTGGCTTTACTCAGCAAACAGAATGACGAGGAAAAATATGAAGAAGAAAGTGAACAGTATGGCCTCAGTAAGTGTATTTGTTTTCATTAGGTAACATTCCAGATTATAAATCATGTGTTTTAATTCAGCAATTTTAACAAGTTTTTCTGATCATATTTCATCCAGTGTCCATCTGTCCATCTCATCTGTCCTTCCATTTGTAAACTCTTTACATTTTTGACTTCTCCAGAATCAAAGGGCCAATTTCAACCCCATGTTAAGAATATTATTCAGTCTTGCCCTTGATTAAGGGGAGATGATTTAGAATTATTTATTGAAAAATTTTAACTTCTTTTTTTAAATTTTTTTCAATTTAATTTTAAAAATATTTTTTTCAAGAATCACTGGACCAGAAAAGATGGAACTTACATGAAGATTCCTGACACAGTATTGATTCATGTTTATTAAAATCAAGACCCCTGGGTTAGGGTGGGCCATAAGATGTCAAAATTTTATGTGGGAAAATATTGAAAAAATCTTCAAAAGTACATGTATTCTTCTGAAGAATCGCATGGCCCTGATTAGTTTTATTGATATGAAAGCATTCTCAGGTAGTGTAGTTTCAATTTTGTTCTGATCATGGACCTTGTGGTAGGGTGGGGCCACAATAGAGGATTGAAGTTTACAAGGCAATGCTATGTAAGAAGAAATCTTTGTCATGTGCAGCAAATTCACAATTAGAATTTATATGAAACATTCCTGGGTAAAGTTATGCCCCCCTTCCCCACAACCCCCTTGAGAACACAGTCTTGATAAAATATTAAGGTAAGTCATATGAAGGGAAACAACTTTATTCCAAAGTAACTATAAGCCTTATGCTGACCAACTTGTATGGATGAAACATCTAGGGATGCACACTACCAATGTGACTGCTTTAGAAGGTTAGTCTTACATTCTCTGGTTGATTTAAGTGAAAAAAGCTTTTAAATCAAGTCCATTCTCAAGCATGGGCAGATCCAAAAGGAGGAGGGAGGTCTTCCCCCCTACCCCAACCCAATACTGACATTGCAGGGTTCGACACTAACGTTAGTCCGTTAGTCTCAGACTAATGCATTTTTATTCGGACTAATAAAATCTGAGGCTAATTAGTCCGAACGGACCAATAAAAATTCCTGGAAAACAGTATGAATAATTTACCAATGTCCGATTCTCCACAACTTTTACTGGAAAACCCCGCATTTATTTTTAGCTTTCTCTAGCTTCTTGGCGGGTAGTTAGACAATTTCGAGTCAGTGCTTAATTTTTCGACTGATTGATATGAAGTAAAATGTTTTAGCGATCATAATTTATATGACACATAAAAGAAAGATGTCAGACATTTTGGATGTTTGTTTGTTTGTTTGTTGTTTAACGCCCCTCTCGAGAATTTTTCACTCATATGGAGACGCCACCACTTGCCTGTGGAGAGCTGCAAATTTTGTCCTATACTCGGCACTTAGGGCCATTGAGCAGTGAGGGATCTTTTTCGTGCCAGCACCTACTGCAACATGGGACCCCGGTTTATACGGTCTCATCCGAAGGACCTTTTTTTTTTTTTTGATGTAATGTAAGAGAAAAAGAACGACATCGGGAATACGATCGTACTCGTTGATCACGAGATTTCAACGAATCCATGCTGGGGAATAAACCCTTTCACGTAAATGCTTTGTTTATTTAATAAAAGTATTAAAAAAAACGTATATTGAAAAGTTTATCTTTAAATTAATGTTACAAAACATCGATGTTTCCTTTTTTGACGGACTCATAAAATTGCATGTGGACTAGTAAAAGTAAAGAAGCACTAGTCCGGCCGGACTAAAGCCTAAAAAAGTTAGTGTCGAACCCTGCATTGGATCCCCTTCCCTCCCTTCATGAGAACACAGGGTACAGGGAGTCTTGGTAAATAGTGATGTAAGTAAGGAAAGTTATATTAATAAAGGAAAACAACTTGTCCAATACATACCCACCCCCTCCTCAACCTAATAGGTATTTTGGGTCTGGGTTTTTATTTGCTTGTCAAGAAATTCCTGACTCAAAATTGGAAATTATTCCTGGATCCCTGCGTGCAAAGTAACTAAGAATTAGGGCTTTTGCAGTATATCGATACATACTGATATTCAATAATCATGATAATGTATATTATCCATTAAATAACTTCCAATATGTATCGAGCAGGCAATTTTTCATAATTCTTATATTTTTTAATGACAGTGAGACAAGAACTTTGAAATGGGTTATAAAACACTCAGTTGTTATAAAATTATGCAATAAATGATTTAAAAGACTTTTTTTTATAGACTTGTTAAAGAATACAATATATCACATATCACTTTATAAAATATTTATCGTATTGTATCAAAATTTTTTGCTCATACTCAGTCCTACTAAAAATTCTACCCATACCATACTTGCATAAATGTTTCACCTAGGAATGCACACAACAAGAATGTTTGATTGGTATGAGACTTTGCCTTGCTTAAAAATAAAATTTCTTGAGGTGAGCTTTGTAATATTTGATTACCTATGTTTATAATCAAGTGCTTGAATTACATCAACAATTGGCTAATTTTTTATTATAACCAATGATTGGGACAAATACATCAACAAAGGTTTAAAATATTGAATGTAATAAATTTTAATGCTTAAAATCCATGTGACCTTGACCTTGTCCTAATTACCGTTGTTTAGAGCCATGGCATACTTTCTCATCAATAGCTAGCTTTGCTTAAACCAATCTTTGTTATATGAATTTATTTTCATCTGATTCAGTAAGATTTTTACAATTATGACATGATCATGTTTTTTTTTTTTTTTAAAAATAATTTAAAGTAGATCCATGTAGATAGAATATTTTATTGTAATATAAACAGAATAACACGAGGTCTTAAAATTATTTACCCACTCTTCATATAATTGATTCCATAAATTTGAAGATGCTCACATAATCAATATCATGGTGATTTTTTTTTTCATCTTATATCTCAGTGACAGAAACTTGCAATAAAAATGCAGTGTTTACATGTATCTGATTTTCTTCACTTTACCCCTGAGACACTCAGCCACAAAGAGGTTGTCTCTGGTGTCTACACATAAACCAAATGGATACTTTAGACCACAGTTATCAATGTAACGGAGGAACTGTCCATCCTGATCTAGGATGTGGATACAGTGATTGACATAGTCAGCTGTCAGGATCTTACTCTGGCTGTCTGTTGTGATGCCGGCTGGAACAAATGATCTCTTGTTAGTAGAGGGAGGACCAGTGTATCTAAATCGGAGTCTTCCTGCCTGATTAACTACCACTACTGCTTTGGCTCCATGGTCAGCCACACAGATATCCAGGTTCCTGTTCTCACTGATGTATTTAAGGCCTTCAGATGAATACAGAGGTTTACCTTCACTGTCAAACTGAATGGTTTGTTTCTCTGTGGAGCCAGAGTAACGGACAACTTTCAATTGTTTATCACCACTGACCATGGTAACCAGGAGGTCACCAGAAGAGGTACTACAGATATAGCGAGGTGTCCATCCCTGTAGTCTGATCACTTCCTCTATCTGTTTATTCTTCACTATGTTTACAGTTCTTGTATCAGGGTCAGTATAAACTAGATCTCCACTCCTTGTCACTGCTATATCACATGGATCATTCCCTGACTTGGTTTGGATTGACTTCAGTAGTTTGCCCTGGAGGTTGTAGAGTTTCATGATTTTGTCTAATCCACATGTCCAGATTTCTTCATCACTGAGACAGGTAACACTGTATAGATATTTATACCCAGTGTGTATGGTGGTGATGAGCTCTGGTTCATCAAGCAGTGGTTTGACTGGTGGACAGTATTCAGCTTCTGATGTCTTCATTGTGTAGCCATGTTCTTCTGTTGTAATGGATAATGCTGACAGAGAACCAAACATTTGATGGAGCTGTTCTGTGTTGATCTTCTTATGAGAGAAACTTGGTAATGACACATTGACTTTAGGAGGTAAACTTCTGAATTCAGCATTCCTGGATTTGTACACAGAGGTTAGAGAGACATCATTGGAGTCCAGTATTTTCTTCAGATCAAGTATGCTCTGTTTTACATCAGAAGTAATCTGTTTGATTTCATTTTTCTGTTTATTTAGAGCAGCCAGGTGTTTAATTTTCATCTCTTCAATTTCAGATTTCTGTTTGTTGACAATGATGTTAATTTCTCTGTGCCAGTCTTCTCCTTGTTTGGTGACAGCTGTTGTCAGTTTCTCATAATGTTTCTCCAAGTTGATTTTTTCAGAGTTTAAATCTGATGTAATTTCTTCATATGTAGGATAGATTTTTTCCTCTAGTTCTTTTAAGTCTTTTTCTAAATCATTTGTTTTAGAACTGAGTTTTTTCAGAACATCTGTAAATTTATGCCCGTGATGTTTATCAGAGGAGATGCAAGTAGAACAGACAGGAATGTCACATTTCTCACAGTAAAGTTCACAATGTTTCTGGGTGTGGTTTGGACATTTTGGGTAGCTAGGAGTAGAAGTTCTGTGTTTGTATGGTACAACATTGTGTCTTTTAGATGAATCAGAGAGATGTTTTCCAACACAGACTATACAGAGGTTTACATGACAAAGTTCACAATGACTCTGTAATGCAGCTGTTTGACACAGGTCACAGAGGAGGATGTCTTGGGCACTATAACGGGGGTCCATTATCATCTTCTTCTTACTTGACCAAGTCTAGGTGATGCTGTAAAATAGATTTAAATTGTGAAGTATAAGTCTTATGTTTAGGATTTTTTTTGTGCTTTGTGCAAACAAAAATGAAAATATAAATAAATAGGTAAAAGTGAAGATTTTGTGATATGAAAATACAGTCAAACCTCATTATCTGAAACTTGATGGGACTGAGAAAAAAACTGAGATATCTGAGGGTTTGAGATAGGAGGGTAAAATACTTCAAGGTGCTTGGACACAGATTTGAAGTTAATATTTTCTCAAATTTTTGGTATAATATCATGACTTATATGTTTTTATAGCATTTCACATGGAAATAAAATAAAAAACTTGTTTTATCTGAAAATT